CTTTAAATTGTAAATAGATTTTAATCTACACCAAACGTGGACTTATTTTTCATATGAGTTCACCTCCATTCCAATGAATTAGTTCATCTTCGGTACATTTTATTTAATATTCATTATTAATCCCACATTCTATCAAAAAAAAATATTAATAATAAAAAAAATCAATTTCTACATAATTCATTAAAAAAGAATTACATCAAACATGCATATACATATAGAAATAATTTCCTGAACATGTACACCAATTAATTGGTGTATTATTTAAATTTTAAATTTTGGACCTATCGCTAATTTACTCACCAATTAATTTGGTGTTATGTGTAATCGGCGCTTAGCATGTTTTGGGGATATACATGAACATAATTTTTATGAACAATATCAACCCATGATTGAACCCTATATATTTCACTACCTTTAGTTTTTGCACATTTTCTTGCCGGAAAACCGTGACTATTTCTACTTTGTTGCTTGATTGCACCCATGTACAACGTATTAGAGTTAATGTAAATTAAGCCCATTAATTATTTTAGATGTTCAAATATGATAAGAGTAAAATTATTTACAGGTGGTTGATTAAGGTCGAGAAACTAACGTGTTGATTGATGAATAGTATTGCTTGATAGATCGATGGTATTAACGTTGTGTCAACTATGAAGTTGATGGTGTTGTTAATACGGTGAAATTTAGATGTCAATGGAGGCTATTGTACTCTCATAGAGAAATTGCTCTCATTCGTATGTGAATCAACGATTAAACTACAATAGCATACAACCAATATAGGCCTCCTGACAAAAGGATGTTCAAATGAAATTCTCATCTAATGCATCATTCATTTTCCTTTCCAAGGGATAGATTTTAAAAGACCCCTACACAAATGAGCTAAATCGAATGTTGGCTCTCCAAATAATTTGCAAAACCATGAACTTTCGTATTTCCATGCCTCACGTTGTTTCATTCCTCCCCTATTGACCGCAATATCTCAGGGCTTGAAAACATCATTTGCATCTAATCGCGAACTGGCAATTGGATTCCAAACTTTTAGGTGAAACATGATCAAGTAAAAAAGACAATAAAGAGACAACGGATAAACTCGATACATGTACAATACGTACATTCAATGCAACCTAAAGTTACATTCGACAGTAAGACACGTCCTTTTATGTCCAACAATTCCATAGGCCGTAGTTTACCAACTAATTAACAAAAAATAACAACTATCCCCGAGTCTAACCGTACAATTACAGTGAATTATAAAATCAACTTACTATATTTGCAAAATTGGGGACTAATTTGCTAATTGAACAATAGGTTGACGACCATCATTTTAATTTTTCCAAAAATATTCTCCTAAACACATTTTTCATTTTTGTAGGCGGAATAACTTCTCCTTTTCCCGATCTCTCCGTGAAGGAAAATGTCCTCCGCGGGAGTAGCCGTCGCGGACGGCAGTTCACAGATATACTTCTGCCACCAATGCGAGCGCACGGTCAGCATCACCCCCTCCCCCAATGGCGATCCTCTTTGCCCCTCATGCCTCTCCGGCTTCGTTGAAGAATACCAAAACCCTAACCCAGTCATACCAGACCCGTTTTCTTCGGACACCCTCTCCACATTCCTTAGCCACTTCCTGTTACCTTCTGCTTCAACCAGCGTTTCCCCGCAAAACCCTGGAGGCGACACGGACCGAGAATCTCTATTTGGGTTTGGCCCCGATGACCGTCAGTCAACAATCGGTTCGGACGATTTTGACCCTTTTGCATATCTGATGAGCGTTCTGGCATCACAACGGGCCAGTGGGGTCAACTACCAGTTCTTGGTGGGGAACCAACCGTCAGGGTTTTCGCTGCCGGTTGACATGGGAGATTATTTTATGGGGCCGGGCTTCGAGCAGTTGATCCAGCAGTTAGCCGAAAATGATCCAAATAGATATGGGACCCCTCCAGCCTCCAAGTCGGCTGTTGAGGCCCTCCCTAGCCTTAAAGTAGAAGAGACTTTACTGAAATCGGAGCTGGCACAATGTGCTGTATGTAAGGATGACTTTGAGTTGGGAACAGAGGTGAAGCAGATGCCTTGCAAGCATGTCTACCACAATGACTGCATTCTGCCGTGGCTTGAGTTACATAACTCATGCCCCGTGTGTCGCCATGAGCTTCCAACAGATGATCCAGACTATGAGAGAAGGGCCACAGCCTGGGGTATTTCTGGTAGTTCCAGTGGAAGTGGATCATCACAGGACAATGGTGCTAATAACAGTAATGATAATTCTGGTGGGGATCCTCAGGGACGAAGGATAGTCGAGAGGAGGTTTACCATAACATTGCCAGGGCCATTGGGGGAGTTTGGATCAGGATCTGGGTTGAGTGATGGGGGTTCAGAGCAAAACCGAGAACCTAATTAAATGCAGTTCAGGTATACATTTTCTATATGCATCGACTCATATATTAAGGACTACCTTTTTTTGTTTTGTTTTCTCGATTGTCGTGCCTTATTTTTGGTTGTAAATTCATGTGTACCATCATGTGGTATATCTTAATGATGAATGCATTATTTAGGGTCATCAGGGCTGTGATGTGTATATTGGTCACTGTGTTCAGGGAGAATTTTAAATGATGGATTAGTTCTTAGGATGAGTTTTTGTTTTCATTTTCCTTCTTTCTACTTCTTGCTTGTTTTACATTTGGAAGAAAATTTTTTTTATGGCCCCATCCATGTCTGGAACTTGTATGCAACCAATGGATTCAGTGATTTATAGTTTGTGTATCTGCGTGTGAGGGAGAAGGTGAAAGATGAGATTACAAATTATAGATCCATATGTAATATTATGTGTTTGTGATGTAGGATGTCACGGAACAATTAAATGAGAATGGAAAGGGAAGAGAAAGTAGGGGGAAAAGAGAAGAAAAGGGAGAAAATAGAGAGAAATTGTGGAGATAATATCAACTTTTAATTTTTTATTCATTTAAAGGTTGTCTGAATTACATCGCATATGCCCCTTTATATAGGGTTTCAAAAGACTCTGTTCTAAGTAAGAAAATACTGTAAAATGAAACCATAACAATGTTTCCTAAAATAAGCTTTTAAATTGGAAACTAAATAATATAATATCTGTTATAGTATTGCATCGGTATGTGTTTGAGACTTTGTATTTTAGAATAAGTTGTATTGGCATCTGATTTATGATCTTATGAACATCGAGTTTGGTTATTGAAGCTATCTCAAATGGTATAGATTTGAATCGACGCCATTGAAGCTGTCGGGTTTCAGTGGTTTTATTTTATATACTAGGACAAAAACTTTTTCTTTTCCTCCATAATGAAAATGAAAAATAATGAAAACAATGTTGCACATTTGGCTGCGTTAGTGTGATTCTTCTTTGATGAAGTCTTAAATGTTAATTGCGTTTTCTCATTTTGATAAGTAACTTCTATTAGAACGATAGGGTTGAGTCCGTTTATAAACAAGTAAACAACTGCCTTAAGAAAATATATAGACTTTGCCTGAACTGTACAACATCTGCTGTCAATAGTCAAGAATTCAACCTCGCTGCTAGCAATACATGAAAGCTCGATCCTCAACTTCATACTATTCCGTATTAGGGGAAATTCCAATTGTGGGATAAATAGAGGTTTTCAAGACTGCATACCTCTAAAGAAGAAACTCACATACTATTAGTAAATGGTAAAGGTGTCCGCATCTTGCATTTACCTGCGGTAGAAGATGGGTGATTTGGGAAGATGTAGTGACAGTTCACGTGGAGTAGCATATGAAGGTAAGTTCATGTACTACAAGGAGGAGTAAGGTAAATGGAAAAAGGTGTCCAAGTCTTGCATCTACTCACTGCAGGAATTGGTTGTTGGATGTGAAGTAATGTAATTAGTAATGGTTTGCCAGTTTACATTGGTTGTCAGTTGCAGTGCTTATACAATTGTGCTTGTTCAAGTGTCGGAATATTTAGCCTTTGCTCGAGCCCCATTTTGTTGAAAAAATAGATTGTATAATAGTAATTTTTGGGTAAATGTGTGGTTAAAAAATAGAAAAAATATTAGGTTTACGTGTAAATTATTTTATTGGGAAAACGTGTGGTAGAAAATAAGTTTGGAGAAAAATGAGTTTTGAAAATATTGGGGCTCAAACATGGTCTTAATTGGAGAATTTGAATTTGCCACTCCGCATAAAGATTTCTTCTTTGTTTTTAACATAAATGGTTTAAAACGGAGATGCAACTGACTTTCAAGTAACATCAAAGGGTTATTTGTCAAGAAACCCAACGCTTAAGTATTAACCCTTAATGGGTAGATGACAAGTTAACATGGACTTCGGAATGGATGTCAGTTCATGTATTTACAGAATAAGTAAGTTTTATTAAATTCCAGAAGGTGTCTTAGGTCTTGCATCTTTATGCTGTAGGAGGTTTTTAATGGGCGAGGGCGTAAAATAAAATGCGAACTATTGGATAGGCAATTTACATGGAGAAGGCTATGGATGTCAGTTGCATGGTGGGTCTTGATCAAGTGTATATTTGGTGGGTCTTGATCAAGTGTATATTTGATTTGAGAATGTGCTGAAGCAATTAAGTGACCAAGCTGTTAATAATTCTCCATCACTTTTAGCATGGACTGTGGTGAACAGTTACTAAAAACCAACTCTTGAGTAATTACGAATGGTTATTCTTGGATATAATCTATAGCATATAAAAGCAAAATATTAAAAACATAACAAACGATGAGTTTGAAGAAATTATTTGAATATTGATATATTTATTCGTTATATAATTTTTTTATTTTGTCTTTAGCTTGTTTCTTGAATGCCACTCATTTGATTTTAGAGCGAGATAAGTGGCAATGCATTATTTCATAGTAGTCTTTACTTTTATTTCTTTCTTTGTTATTGTGGAAGGGGGTCTTGAGAAGGCAGGTTTAGGGCACTTTGAGAAGAAAATCTGATTGAGCCAAGACATTTGAGTTTTAGTTACAACTAGAAGCTGTTGTCATCTGCTCAGACTGTTGCACATTGAAAGCAAAGTCATGATTGTTGCATCTCTTTGGATAATGTTGCATTTATTCGTCACACCCAACATTGTGTTGACCATCTTAACTTACAAATTGTCCCCGTGAATATTATTTTGGACTTCGGTTCTTATATGTACCACGAGAATGATTTCTTGAAATATGGTTGGCCATTGATCATATTTGTGTGCCTCTTGGTCTGGAAAGCACACAGTTACTCCCATGCTGGAGTGTCCATGCTTAATACTTATCATAGAAATGTTCCTTGGACACCCTGGAGTACGTGATGACAGGCACACAGTATAAAAAGTCATAAATCCCAAATCATCTTAGATCCAAAATATTTACAATCAAAACAAAGCTAAATAAAAGGTATAATATAAGGATAAAATGTACCTGTATAATTTAAAGTAATATAAAAGAACTTTCAGAGTCTTTACTTTTTTGAAAAATTAGGTGTGATCAATTTCATTTCTGTAGCTGTGCTTTGTAGGGAATGATGTATTAACCTGAAAATCTTATTTTGCAGCTTGTGCGGTGGCAGAGTTTTACAAGAGCCTTCCTCAACTGATGAAGCAGCTTGTCACAGTCAGAGATAGGTTTTACATGCATGTGAAGATATGGACAATACATCTTAAGGTTTAGGTCGGGGCAGTTACTATAACGAGTTGGAAGTTTGGTCTTGAACATGTATTTGTTGCTTATCTGTACGAGCTCTGCCAATATGGCTAGTCAACCTGCTCATAGCAAATTGCACTTACACTGTTTATTTTTTTTAATTTTATTTTTTGTAACATAATTGTGCATGGAATCGAAGTACTTTTCTTGGAGCTATTTGCATAATTTTCGTTTTCTGGTTGTTTATCTTCCATATTTATAGAGCTGATTATTCCCTTATCTTTTGAAGCAATAGGCTGTTTATGTACCCTTGTGGAGGTGATTCTTTAGAAATTACACCTTTGTGTTTGGTAAAATATTATGCAAGTCATTAATATACGTTTATTCCATAAAGATAGACTTGATTTTCATTTTCTTTTAATCCAAATTCTAAGTCATTTTCCTTGTTGAGGGTGAACTTGATTCTTAGTTTTTAAATATATACCTATTTAATGTGTTCTGTTGTTAACAAATATGAAATACACATAATTAAACTATTATTTACTGTATGAGTGTATTAAGAAAAGTATAAAAAAATAAATTATATTTTTTTCATTATATTAATTATATCGTCTTAATCTGTGTAAAAATAAAAACAAATTTGAGTATATTTTACAACTTGAAAATATATATATAGATGATCCTTACAATCAGAACCAGACCCAAAAATTGAAGAAAATCTAGAAAACTTCGAATTTTTAAATAATTTATCTTTAAAAACTTTAGAAACAGATTTTATGCCAAGAAATAAAGAATTAATAATTTTTAACAAGACATCTTCTAAGATAGATAGTATAGACAAAATTTTAGAATTAGCTGAAAATATTCAAATAATAAGAAAAGATCCTATAAAACATTGGGATAAAAATAAAATAGAAGCTAAATTAGAACAGCAGAAATAAAGCATACGAATCAAGATATAGAAGATTTTAACATACATATTAAAGAATTATTAGATTTAAAAGTAATAAGACCGTCTATAAGTCAACACAGATCAACAGCCTTTATGATTAGAAATCATAGTGAAATAAAAAAAGGAAAAACAAGAATGGTTATAAACTATAAAATATTAAATGATAATACTGTAGAAGATGGACATAAGATATCAGATAAGGATATGCTAATAAAATAAAATACAAAATAGTAAGATATTTTCTAAATTTGATTGTAAATCTGGATTTTGACAAATAAAAATGACAAAAGAATCTATTCCTTGGACAACTTTTACTGCTCAATTAGGACACTTTGAATGGTTAGTCATGTCTTTTGGATTAAAAAATACACTCTCTATTTTTCAAAGAAAGATGGATAGAATATTTAATTTTCTTCCATTTGTTTGTGTATATATAGATGATACTCTAGTACATAGTAAAAATTATAAAGAACATATGAAACATTAGATATAACCTTGAATAAATTTATAGAAAATGGTTTAATTATAAGTAAAAAGAAGATGAAAATAAATAAAGAGAAAATTGAATTTTTAGGAATAATTTTAGGAGAGGGAAAGATTCAGTTACAACCCCATATAATACAAACAATTTTACAATTTTCAGACAAAATTGAAGAAACCAAGAAATTACAAGTCTTTTTAGGAATATTAAATTATGCTAGACATTTAATTAAAAATTTAGGAAGGAAAGTAAGACCACTATATAGTAAATTATCTAGTAAAGGACAAAAATATTTTAATGAATCAGTTATAGAATTAGTAAAAAAGATAAAAGCAGAAGTTAAAAGTTTACCACTATTAGAATTACCATTAGATAGTGAATATAAAATAATAGAAACAGATAGATGTGAATTAGGATGAGAAGGAATTTTATATTCCAAATCAAATAAATATAGTGATAAAAAAAAAGAAAAATTTTGTAGATATGCTAGCGAAAAATACAAAATAAAAGGAAAATATTTAATTAGCTTAGATTATGAAATAATGGTCATCATACATAGTATAGAGAGTTTTAAATTATTTTTAAACACTGAATTTATAATTAGGACAGATTATGAAACTATAATAAAATTTATTAAAAAGACAAATTTTGATAAGATAAGACATAAAAGATGGTTAAAATTATATGAGATATTAAGCAGCTATAAAATTAATATAGAACATATTGACGGAAAAAATAATATTTTAGCAGATAATTTAAGTAGGCAAGTTATTAATTTTCTAACTCATTATCTTCATGGTGCAGATAGATAAAAGGATGATGAACTTCGGGGATGTCACTCTGAGAGTGGCCCCTCAAGGATCTAATCTTCGATTCAGAGGAAATAATTTAGAAAGACTACCAGAAAGGGAGCGTTGTCTACTGGATAATCTCTGGATGGCACATGACTCTAAACAAAAATTAGACATCATTAATCCCCTAACCAACCATTTAAGACAGATTCATAATCAAGTAGAAAGCAAAAAATTTAGTTTCTTTGTAGTAATTAAAGGTAGAAAGCTTGGAATATATAATTATTTGACATTACCTTGTTGGACAGTTTAAATTTCAAACAGTTTTTCCATCCAATCGACACTTTACAACAGTGCAAGTGTCAAACAACGTGTCAAAAATGGGCTTACAAATAACAAAGTTCAATCGGTAAGAACCTTGCTACATGTACACTATGGTGTACACTTTAGTTTGCACTTTGCCACTTGACATAATCCTGTTAGACAGTATAAATTTCAAACAGTTTTCCCATCCAATTGACACTTGACAACAATGCAAGTGTCGAACAACGTGTCAAAAATTAGTGTACAAATAGTAAAGTTCAATCGGTAAGAACCATGCTATATGTACACTACGGTGTACACTTTTGTTTACACTTTGCCACGTGACTTTACCCTATCGGACAATTTAAATTTCAAACAGTTTTCCATCCAATTGACACTTGACAACAATCTAAGTGTTAAACAACGTGTCAAAAATCAGTGTACAAATAGAATTGTTCAATCGGTAAGGACCTTGCTACATGTACACTTTGGTGTACACTTTAGTTTACACTTTACCACGTGACATTACACGATTAGACAGTTTGAATTAGAAATAATTTTCCCATCCAAATGACACTTAACAACAATGCAAGTGTCAAAAAATGTGTCAAAAATCAGTGTACAAGTAGTAAAGTTTGATCCGTAAGGACCTTGCTAGGAGTACACTTTAGTTTAAACTTTGCCACAAGACATTACCTTGTTAAACAGTATAAATTTCAAATAGTTTTCCCATCCAATCGACACTTGACAACAAAACAAATGTCAAACAACGTGTCAAAAATCGGTGTACAAATAGCAAAATTTAATCGGTAAGAACCTCGCTACATGTACACTGTGATCTACACTTTAGTTTACACTTTGCAACGTGACATTACCCTGTTGGACAGTTTAAATTTCAAATAGTTTTTCCATCCAATCGACACTTTAAAACAGTGCAAGTGTCAAACAACGTGTTAAAAATGAGCTTACGAATAGCAAAGTTCAATCGGTAAGAACCTTACTACATGTACACTATGGTGTACACTTTAGTTTGTACTTTGCCGCTTGACATTACCCTGTTAGACAGTATAAATTTCAAACAGTTTTCCCATCCAATTGACACTTGACAACAATGCAAGTGTCGAATAACGTGTCAAAAATTAGTGTACAAATAGCAAAGTTCAATCGGTAAGAACCATACTACATGTACACTACGGTGTATACTTTTGCTTACACTTTGCCACGTGACTTTATCATATCGGACAGTTTAAATTTCAAATAGTTTTCCATCCAATTGACACTTAACAACAATACAAGTGTTAAACAACGTGTCAAAAATCAGTGTACAAATAGCATTGTTCAATCAGTAAGGACCTTGCTACATGTATACTTTGGTGTACACTTTAGTTTACACTTTGCCACGTGACATTACGTAGTTAGACAGTTTGAATTAGAAATATTTTTCCCATCCAAATGACACTTAACAACAATGCAAGTGTCAAAAAATGTGTCAAAAATCAGTGTACAAATAGTAAAGTTCGATCTGTAAGGACCTTGCTACGAGTACACTTTAGTTTAAATTTTGCCACAAGACATTACCCTGTTAAACAGTATAAATTTCAAACAGTTTTTCCATCCAATCGACACTTGACAACAAAATAAGTGTCAAACAACGTGTCAAAAATCGGTGTACAAATAGCAAAGTTTAATCGATAAGAACCTCGCTACATGTACACTGTGGGCTACACTTTAGTTTACACTTTGCAACGTGACATTACCCTGTTGGACAATTTAAATTTCAAACAGTTTTTCCATCCAATTGACACTTGACAACAGTGCAAGTATCAAACAACATGTCAAAAATCAGCTTACAAATAGCAACGTTCAATCGGTAAGAACCTTGCTACATGTACACTATGGTATACACACTTTGATTTACACTTTGCCACGTGACATTACCTTGTTGGACAGTTTAAATTTCAAACAGTTTCCCCCTCCAATTGACACCTAAAAACAATGCAAGTGTCAAAAATCAGTGTCCAAATAGCAAAGTTCAATTAGTAAGAACCTTGCTACATTTACACTATAGTGTAAATTTTAATTTACAATTTGCCACGTGAGATTACCCTTTTGGACAATTTAAATTTCAAGCATGTTTTCCATCCAATTAACACTTGACAACAATGTAAGTCTCAGACAATGTGTCAAAAATCAGAGTACAAATAGCAAAGTTCAATTGGTAAGGACCTTGCTACATGTATAATATGGTGCACACTTTTGTTTACACTTTGCCACAAGACATTACGCGATTAGATAGTATAAATTTCGAACAGTTTTTCCATCCAATTGGCACTTGGCAACGATATAAGTGTCAAACGACGTGTCAAAAATTAGTGTAAAAATAGCAAAGTTCAATCGGTAAGAACCTTGCTACATGTACACTATGGTGTACACTTTAGTATTGCCACGTGACATTACCCTGTTGGTTAGTTTAAATTTCAAATTGTTTTTCCAACCAATTGACACTTGATAACAATACAAATGTTAAAAAAACCTGTCGAAAATCAGTGTACAAATAGCAATGTTCAATCGGTAAGAACCTTGCTACATGTATACTATGGTGTACACTTTAGTTTACACTTTCCCATGTGACATTACCCTGTTGGACAGTTTTAATTTCAAACAATTTTCCCATCCAATTGACACTTGACAACAATACAAGCGTTAAACAACATGTCAAAAATCAG